GTTTTGATTTGTAATGTTTAAGTCTTGCCATTAGCAAATCTCGGGGATCAAAATGTTACTAACAGATATCAAAACATAACTAAAAAATTCCACAAAATGTTACCAAAATCTATAGACATGTTGTCATCCCTAATTAGATATATCCTAATTCTTTCCCTTAAAATTTTAAGTACAAGTAAAATGAAATTTTGTAATAAGAATATAAACGAAAACTATTGAATGATATTCATTTGGTAATTTGACATCTATTGGAGGACATTTGTGTTCATAAATTTTATTAAGTAAGGATAAAATTTAAAACAATAGTAACAGTCATCTTAAAATATCACCCTCTAAGTTAATAATCACATAACCCCTATCGGGATGTTTAGATCATATAATTTTTATTATAGGGAGATGTTATATTAACGGAAAAATAGATCACTTTGAAGATTATTGAGAATGTTTAGAAAATGTGTTTGGTTGGTTCGAATAAATTGGTGAATAATATGTTTGGTTGGAAGGATAAATAGGTGGGTATGTTTTATAGATTACTAAATTGCCCTCATTTTTAAATATTAATATAAAATTGTTTTTTATTATTGTTTTTTGAATCATTTCTTTTAACCACTTACATTTGAAATTTTGGTAAAACACCCCAGTCATATAAAACTTTAATTTATAGCAAAATCATCCCCACCCACCGCAAACCACTGCCGGTTGCCAGCCACCACCGTCGGCTACAGCCGACAGTCGACGGAATGGCGCACGACTAGCCGTATATGACCGATTGTGTGCTGGCAAAGCCATTTCCGGCCATGGATCACAAATCCATGGTCGCTTGACAGCCAAATCTGGCCGATTCCGGCCATGGATTGCTGGAAAAGGCCTTACAGGTGTACGATTGGCCAGATCCCGTCGGTCGTGCAGCATTACGGTGATTGATGTCGGCAGCCAGAGGTGTCTTGGGTGGCTGGGTATATTTTGTTAACTTTTAAACTTTTTGTGGCTGAGACGTTTTAGCTAATTTCTCAAATGTAAGGGGGTTGGGTAAATGGTTATTTGGTAGACATTTGAGGGCAATTGTGTCTGAAATGGTATTTAATTAAGGGCAAAATAGGTATAAAATCAAGATTACTTGGTAATGTTTTAATCCTAGGGGTGGGGGAGGGTATCGGATTCCGCCCCACATTACCAGCAGTAAACACTATTTGCAATAAAAAATTCTCGTAATATTTTATTACTTGTAAATCAAACGCCAGAATCTTGCAAAATAAACAAAGATTACCCATGTTATCTTATTTGCCCCCAATCCAAACGCACCCTATATCACATCTCTTATTACCCGAGTAATAAAAGATTACCAGAATCTTTTATTACCTGCTGAACCAAATGAGGTAATGACTAGATTAAAAGATAGATTATCAGAGAAATCTTTCAAGGGCCCTAACTAAACGCAACCTAGGTTTATGTCAATTGTTACAAACGATAGGGTACTTTTTTGTTATTTCAAAAACTTTAAAGGAACTTTGTTATTTTATTAAATTTCGGGGTTCTTTATTCCCTTAATTTTAAAGTTGGAATTTGAAGAAGAAAACGAGTAGAGGTAGGAATTTGGGCCTGGGCCCAATGGGGCTGCCCAAAAAAGGGGACCTAGGACGATCCTTGGGAGGACTAGTCCTATAGGGCCCAAGCCCAAACCCGGACTAGGCCCAAGGAGGAGGGATCGGTCCTTGGGTTGGTCCCTCCTCCAAGGGTCAGGCATGGAATCAATCCTAGGCTCAGGCTCGAACCCCCACCCTTAATTTCCTATACACCCCTAGCAAATATCAATAACCCCCTATTTTAAGAATTGACAATAAATATAGGAGCTAAACAAAAATTTTACAAAAAAAAATATATAAGAATTGAATTTTTTTTTCTTTCACTTTCCCCCAAACCTATACTATAAATAACCCCTCTATCCACCCATTTTCCTCATAACTCATAACTCTCAATATCTCATTCTCTCTACTCCAATTCTCAAACTCTCTTCAATTTATATTTATATTTAATCATCTATTATTCATATTATTATTTATTTTATTCAATTTCTTCAAATTTTTTTATTTATTATTTTATCATAAATTCATAATAGATTCCCGAAATTATGTATTTGGAGGATCATCCCCAAATGAGTATTATGTTCCATCCATCAAAGAAATGGAAGGGTTCGATCCATTTTAACCCTTTCCAGAGACAACAATTCCACAACCAGAGACAGCTGCGACTACGTCCAGCCAAACACAAGTGAGCTGCGACACCACGACAAGACCGTCAAAGAGGCTCATGTTCGGGGTATGACAATACTTCACCAAATCAAAACGAGCAAAGCTAAATGGGGAAGAGGAAGAAATGTGCGGGGTATGTGATTTTTGTCCAACCGTTATCGATGCTAAGCACGGGACTTCAACGATGCAGCGACACTTGGGGAAGAAACACCCCCAATATGCAGTGCGAACCATCCGGTTCAACTTCAACCGGACCCGGTAAACAAATTCAAACTCAACTTTATTTTAATCCACAATCCTCAGCTCTCTTAACCTGGCAATACAATGCACTCAAAGTACGAGAGGCAATAGCAAGATACATAGTTGCTACGGACTCTCCTATTTCTTTATCTGAAAATCCTTATTTTGTTGAAATGATTAAAGATGTTTTTTGTCCAGCATATAACCCTATTAGTAGAGGTACAAGTAGAAGGGACATACAAAAACTTTATAATAAAAAAAAAAGATCAACTTAAAATAGAATTTGAAAATTTTAGGAATATATCTATTGCACTTACTTTAGACATATGGGCTACTAGATCAAAAATAGATTTTTTGAGTGTCACGATACATTACCTAGATCATAGTTAGCGTTTACAACAAAAATTGATAGGTTTTAAACCATTATATGCTAAGCATAGTGCTGAGACTATTTATTTAACAATTATTAAAGTTTTGCAAGGTTATTTATTAACTGAGAGAGTTGTAGTGCTAATACTTGATAATGCAGCTAATAACACCATGACAATTTCTTTATTTGAAAAGAGATTGGATCTGCATGGTGATGGAAATTTTTTTAACCAGAGATGTGCTTGCCACATCATCAATTTAATTGTTAAAGTAGATTTAGAAGCTATACATTTGAGGATTGAAAGGGTGCGCGCGGCTATTAGATTCATCTCCAGTAGCAATACAAGATGGAATGAGTACGTAAAATATTGTCACCAAGAGGAGCCGCTGGTTCGACCAAAGAAGTTATGTATGAACATGCCTGTCCGTTGGAGCTCCATGTACTTGATGTTGCAAAGAGCTATGCCAACGCAACACAAATTACAAAGTTCGTTAATCAGAAGAACTATCCGGATGAAGTTGTCAACGATGATGATTGGACGGTTTGCAATGTTTTTCATTCATTTCTTAAAGTTTTTTTACTATTCCACTAATACATTAAGTGGTATTTGTTATCCTACTACTAATGTCATGTTATATATTTTACTTCAAATTTCTAAGACTTTTGCTAAACATAGATATAATGAAGATTTAAGCGACATTGTTTCACAAATGGAAACAAAATACTAGAAATATTGGTTAGATATTGCATTCTTACATGAACTAGGTCTTATTATAGATCCTAGGTTTAAATTAAACAATTTAAATGTATGGTTATTGAGATAAGCCATCATTTAGAACATGACTATAGTTCTTATTTGATAGATTTTAACAGAAAATTGGAAAGTTTTTTTTTATTATATCAGACTAGGTACAATATGAACGCCCAGCAAATACGACCAACAGGACCCTGATGAAGACATTTATCAACAAGAATCGAGCATGTGGACGTATATGAAACTCAGTAGCGGTGGTGGTGGAAGTAGTAGCTCCAGCTTGTACAGATATGGACCAAATGAGCTGCATCGGTACCTACAAATGGACATGTCCTACATGACCAAGAAGGAGAAATGTGAGATATATCTGCTTCAATGGTGGAACCAAAATAAAAGTCGATTCCTCATTATAGTGCAAATGACACGTGATATTTTTTCTATGCCAGTTTCGACAGTTGCATCCAAGTCAACATTCTCAATTAGTGGCTGTATTTTTTAAGACAGAAAATGCTCTTTAACCAATGAGATGGTTGAAGTTATAACATGTTTACGGGATTAGACTCATGCAGACAAAAGACTACAATAGCACCCTAAAAATCCCGAACTACTCGACCTCTTCAAAAACACATATTTGGACGATGTAAATATTGGCAATGTAAATTAATTTAGTAAAAACAAATTTATTTAATTGATTATTTATGAAGTGTGATTGTGTGAATATTATATTTATGTTAAAATTAAATTATCTCTTTAACGTTTAATTAAAAACACCCTAAATTTATAACCAATTAACTATTCATTTTATTTATTTACTAAATAATTAAAAAATTTACAAATCACCCCCTACATAATTTTCGACTTGGCCCCTAAATATAAAAAAAGATAGGGGGTCAACATAAGTTTCTGGGCCCATAAGATCGGGATCGATCCTATGGGCTTAAGGACAGGTCTGGACCTATTATTTCTCATGGGCCTAGTATGGTCCCAAATAAATTGGGCCCAGTCCCATTGGGCCTTGCCCAGCTCTAAACACGAGGGTAACTTTATCAATTTCTAAAATTGAGGGGGAAAACAAAAGCATAGAAAAGGGTAAAAAAGTTATTCGCCCGTATTTTGTAAGCCCAGTCTTAGCCACGGGTTCGAACCCTTGAAACGGCACGGTTAGTCTCAACTCCTTTTTTAAACCGTGGTGTAAAACTATAAACTCCGCTATTAAACCCTCAAAAAGCCCGCCATTTGCCCTCATTTTCAATCGCCAATCACTACTGGTAACCTTCATATTAGATGTTTTCATTGTGGTCCTCTTGCTCGGCATTGCACCGCCGTTCCAGTTTCTAGGGTTTTTACTGCGTTCCCAAAGATTTTTGTGTTTATTTGTTGAATTTCGGTAATGGAAACCGATGAGGCCCAGCGTGTGCTGCCGTTTCAGCTACAATTCGACAAACCAGTCGCCTCTCAGGTTTTTATTTTTTATTTTTATTTGTATACATTTTCAATTAACTTCTTTATGCGTTTTCTTATTTATTTAGTTTTCTCAATTGATAGATCAAAATGGCGGAATGGAATCCGGAGAAGGATTTATTAGCCATGGTTACGGAAGAATCGAAGATTTTGCTGCACCGATTCAATTGGCAAAGGTTGTGGACCATTTCGCCAGGTGAATTATTAGTATTATTGTTACTATTTTTTCTCGTCCGTATAGCTTAATTTATTTTTGTGTTTATTAAGCGCAATTGTCTGAATTTTCAAAAGTTAACATCTGTCATTTTGATTTTAGGAAAGTCCATTACGTCCCTGTGTTGGCGTCCTGATGGCAAAGCAATAGCCGTTGGGCTAGAAGACGGAACCGTTTCCTTGCATGATGTTGAAGTGAGTACCATATGCTCTAGCTAAATATGATTATGTGACTAAGTAAACCGATTCACTTGACTCAAATAATGTATGTTTGGTTAAGGCATTGATTGACACGTGATGCTCCTAATTTATTAAGGTTTTCATATCTTGAATAGGTAACAATCTCTTGATTCGTTTGCTTGAAATGAAAAAATAAAAAATAAGAATTAAGACATTTCTTGTTAGCCATTCATTGTTTCTTGACCTACTAAGATGGCATTATACGTACTTACTTCCCCGCAACCAGATGCTTTACAATGGACATGATTCATCTTGTTTTATTGTTAAAATCTAATAGAAGAATTGGGAGTTTGCCATTTTATGCTATGATGCTTTGGTCTTCTGCATTAAAGTTAGCTCTCATCTAGGGGAGTATTATTTTTCATATATTATGTAATCATTATCTTGCTGTGTCTTATTATTTCATTCTGATTTCTTGTGCAATAGTTGATTTATCATTTTACATTCTTTGTACTTCTTATATCTCGTGTATGTTATGTTAAGCAGAATGGAAAATTGCTGAGAAGCTTAAAATCCCATACCGTTGCTGTTGTATGTCTTAACTGGGAGGAGGATGGACAACTCACTAAGGTTTTAGTTAATCTTATCTTTTTATTTTAGCCAGTATGTCCCCTTAAGAGTTGTATGCTTATTCTTGTTTCCTTTTCCTTCTTGAATTGGGTTCTCAGAATAATTCTGCTGACATCTCAACATATGATGACCGTACTTCTCGTTTCTTCCCTCCTGCTCCAAGAATTCCTCGAATGCCTGGACTGGTGTCTGGAACTGGCTTCATGGATGATAATGAAGATTCATTTTTTGAGCTATCAAATTCTTCACATCAACGTTTTAATATTCTATGTAGTGGAGACAAAGATGGAAGCATATGCTTTAATATCTTCGGGATATTTCCAATAGGGAAAATAGTAAGTTATATCCCAATGAAAATGTGATCTATACATGCTGATATTATTAGATCCCTTTTTTTTGTTTTCCTTTTAACCAAGTTTTTTTTCTTCTTCTCTCGTTTTCTGTTTTATGATGTGCCAGAACATACATGAGTTTTATGTTCCTACTCCCCTTGTGGATAAACAAGCTACATACCAACTTCTGAATGCTTCCATTTTCAAGGTATGCTCATCACTGATGTGGATAGCCTTTGAGGAAGTATAGAATGTATGTTGTAGGTTGGTGTTGCTGACAATTGGAATCTTTAGTTATCTATATCGCATAATTTGAGTAAATTCATTTAATACTAAAGCAAATTGTTTTTAGATAATTTAAGGCATTTCTTATAAATGACTGTGGTCAGGTTTGGCGATGAGAAGAAAAGCTGGTACTAACTAACACCACAGTACTAGAATCTGTAACAAGAGTACTTTGGTCCAAGAGTTTGCCATGGTCTTCTTGTTTCAAAGGTTCAGCCGTGGACTAATGAAAAGTTTATATTGAGAGAATTATTTTTCTTTTTTTGTGTTTATTCCAAGAAAAACACCATTTTACATATTTCAGTTCCCACAGGTCAATAGCGGACTGTAATGGTGCTGGCTGATGTTGTTTAATTATTGCTGTCGTTAGGTTGCTTTGTCAAAAGACCTTTGTCGCTTGATAGTCATGTGCTCAGGACAACTTAATCAAGATGAGGATAAATTGGGTGAGAAACAAATAGGTGGACATGATATGCATGGCTTACATAGCTTAGTTCTGAATTCTTCCATATTCTCAAAGAGGTAACTTTGCTGGAGAAACTAGGATTATATCTATGAATTATGTTGTTTGACTACTTCTAAGTATTAAATTGTAGTGTTAAAATTATATTTGTTTTGAGTTTCTCCTGATTAAAGTTCTCTGCTGTATCTTCTTTCTCACTTAGAAACTGCTGCTTTAGATGAAAGACTAGACTGAAAGACTTTATGGGGTTTTAAAATTACTTTAACTTGCTATAGACATGTTAACTAATGCATTTTTCTCGTATTTGAAGGAAAAATGAGCTCCATCAGATGGCCCAGCAGGCTTCTAACATTGAGGATTTAATGGAGGTTATCAGGGCTTCACTAACAATTATGTGTAAGCAGTGGTCAGATGCCATGCACACTTTCCACGAGAAGTTTGATTCTCTCCCTACTTTGATTGTTGACAATGGTAACTTCTGATTGCAAATACATTATAGTTATGATATTTCCCTCGTTCTTTTTCTTTTTAAATATTTGATTTTAAGTTTGGGTCTTTCCTTTCATTCAATTCTACCTTTTACATATAGGTCTGGACTCTTCTCCCCAGGAGGAGTTTTTAAGCCTTTTAGGTGGTGCTCGTACTAGTCCAGCAATTCACCAGTTTCTAGTTAACTCTCTTGGTGAAGCGGTATGCTTGGAATCTTGAGGATTTTTTTTTTTTTTTCTTCCAATGAAAGCCTATTGTGATTATACATTATTGAATTTATTGGCTAACAGGCTGTCAAGCGTGTGTCAAAGGCTGTTTGTGGTGCTGGGAAAGAACTTCAGCTTATTGTCCTTGATCATCTTCAGGTGCACTATTTTCTGTCTTCTGCTAATGTGATTACTATTTGGGAACCATTAATAAACTTAGTACTAAGTGCGAATCATCTTATTTAACTGAGTGGATTGTAAAATATGTGCAAAACATCTTATTTCAAGGAGTAGATTGTAATGGATTTTTAATTTGTGTTTGTAACTGAGAGCTGAGTGTGACTGTATCTCAGTCTTCTATGACTGGGGTTGCCAGTAAACATGTTTAATTATATAGACCCATACACACAATCATCTAAACACACACACACACACACACACACATGGTCATGCAAGGAATATGTTGGAGTTATACTCATTATTTTTAATCAAAATTGGTCTTTTTTATTGCATTTTCGTTGCAAGCTGTTGCAGTTTCTGTGTGCCTGATGTAGTTTGTTTTGTGTTCCTTATATCAAGGGCTTGAGTGGAAACTAAAAGATAAATGTCCATTTCCCAGCCTGCTGCAGAAATTATTGGATTCAGGATGGGAGAACTAAGAGGCCTTTCAAGATGGCGTGTACGCTATCAGGGTATTGGGTTGGATGAGACGCTAATTAACCATGCATCAGAGAAGTCTGGTATGTTTCTAGTACAAGTCGAGCGGTTTATGAGGGTGCTTTCATCTGTGGTGCAGCAGGTATTCTGAATTGAGGATTGAATTCTTATTTGTATTAGCTTGTTGTATGTATGCTTGCATTTGCACATGTCATGTTTCTATGTGACAGAATTTTGACTAAACTAGTGAATGGACAATTTTTAGCATTCATCATTCTTCTTTTAAAGGTCTACCATATCAAGTGTTGCCATCCTATATGCCTAATTTGTCAGTTTAGACATTTTTGAATTAGTACATTGATGATGATGTATAACGCATATACATTATGTCTTGTGGCTCATAAATGTAAGTTTAGAGATGTTCATGCGGTCATTCTTTCGGAAATCTTGTAAAACTTAAAAATTCTTTCTTTACTTTAGGCTTCAGTTGCTATAGAGTGCAAGATTATACTTTTTTCTTTATTCATCTTAATTGGGAAGGAGTTTTGGGTTAATTTTTTATGGTATACTTAGTGCAGGGGAGGATGATTACTCACTGCAAATTTGTTTCCTCTCTCCTGGTTTTTGATATGTGGACACCTGGTTCAGGGGTGTATCTCCTTATATTGGACTAATTCAGTACAAGGTTTATT